AAAGTAGAGGCAGCGGCAGAAACGGAAGCAGCAGCAGCAGCAGCATCAGCAGCATCAGTAACAGCGTTGGAATCAGCTGTCAGTGACGATCGCTCCAGAGGGAGTTGTACAGAGGAGATAAGGTCAGGGTGATTGTGGGATTTAGTTTGTGTGTAGCGTGTATTTGTGTGTGTGTGTGTGTGTGTGTGTGTGTGTGTGAGGGGAAGACAAAAGTGTAGAAGCTTCTCTCTGTAACAAATGGTCCATCATGACCAGATTACAGATGCTGCTGCTGCAGAGACTGAAGGAGGAAAAACAGGCAGAAAATACACACATCACAGCTGTGGAACATGGAGATGGACCACAAGTAGTACTGCTGTACTGTAGTACAGTAGTTGGAATCAGCTGTCAGTGACGATCGCTCCAGAGGGAGTTGTACAGAGGAGATAAGGTCAGGGTGATTGTGGGATTTAGTTTGTGTGTAGCGTGTATTTGTGTGTGTGTGTGTGTGTGTGTGTGTGTGTGTGAGGGGAAGACAAAAGTGTAGAAGCTTCTCTCTGTAACAAATGGTCCATCATGACCAGATTACAGATGCTGCTGCTGCAGAGACTGAAGGAGGAAAAACAGGCAGAAAATACACACATCACAGCTGTGTAACATGGAGATGGACCACAAGTAGTACTGCTGTACTGTAGTACAGTAGTACTGCTGTACTGTAGTACAGTAGTACTACTGTACTGTAGTACAGGAGTCTGGGTGATGGTACAAATATCCGTACTGTAGTACAGGAGTCTGTGTGACAGTACGAATATATGTACTGTAGTACAGGAGTTTGTGATGGTACAAAAAGAAGTAGCCTGTTGTGTAGAACTGAAATTTGTAATGAAGTACTGAAATCTCTATTACAGTACTGAACTCTGTACTGCAGTTCTGAACTCTGTACTGCAGTTCTGAAATTTGTACTGTAGTACTGAAATCTCTATTACAGTACTGAACTCTGTACTGCAGTACTGAACTCTGTACTGTAGTACTGAACTCTGTACTTTAGTACTGAACTCTGTACTGTAGTACTGAACTCAGTACTGCAGTACTGAACCCTGTACTGCAGTACTGAACCCTGTTGTTCTGGAGCTCAGACAGATTACACCCCTCTGTCCAGTGAAGTTCTGCTCTCAGTCCTCAGAGAAATGATGGTCTGTTTGGACTGAGCTGTGGTTGTTCCTGTGCTCTCTACTGTGTGGGCTGCAGCCCAGACAGGCTCTGACAACTGCTCTGGGCTGGTGAGCTAACGTTTGTGTTAATGTTCTCTTCAGTCCACTGTGACGTTCTCGACGGAACAGACGGAGATTCACCAAGAGTTCTAGACCTTTCTATGATCCCAGGTTAATACGAACAGCTCAGGTCACATCTGTGACCTTTAGGGTTCAGCCATAGAAAGGTCAAGTGATTTATACTTCCAATGAGCAGGGGTTCCCAAAGTCTGGGTCGGACCCCCACAGGGGGCAAAGAGCCTGCTGGGGTGTACAACAAAGTACAACAAATATTATTGATTTCCACATTTTTTTAAGTTTTTTAACCGCTTCGTTTCTTTACATCACTCAACCTCTGGGCTGTGGCCCACTAGTGTGCCAGGAAAAATGATCAAATTTCACTTAATTGGCGTTTCTTTACATCACTGTTTCCTGGTATGAAATTCTTTGTTTACGTCGTGTAATACAGTGATTCTCAACCGCTGGGCCGTGGCCCACCAGTGTGCCAGGAAAAAATGATCCAATTTCACTTAATTGGGCTGAAAACTATTATTTATTTATCGCATGTAATTTTTTCTTTTGTTCGTCAAAACATGGGAGGCAGAAAAATTAAATCCTCTTCTGCTAGGGGGCAGCAGATTGCTATAAAAAACTAAAAAAAAAAAGATAATCAGAGCTGTTGATGAAGATCTTTGTGAATGTCTTTCTTCAATTCCTGCCAGTATATCAGCATTGTCTTCAACTAAACAGGCTGAGATTTTAGTCAATTCTGAGGTCGTTTAAACTTGAAGTTTATTATATTTCATTACAGAGACTTTTTGTCAGATTTTGGATTTTGGTTTGGTGGTGTGCCGAGGCTCAAAGGTTGGGAAACGCTGGTGTAATCCATTTCCCCGTGTTTGTTTTTGTTGCCTAGTGCCTGCAGGGGCGTCACTTTTCTCCCTGAAGTCCTGCACAGTGTTGTTTTCAATTTGTTCTCGCAAGATACGGATCTTGTGACTTCCACAGAGGACAGCACACATTTCTCCAAACAAACGTCTGTGCCGTGCAGCATAACAGATCCTCCAGACCTGGACAGAGATCGTGACTGCAGCGTTGACACGCAGGGACATTTCAGGACATTTGTTAAGGGTGTTTCAGGTACAGTACCTGTGTCACCAGTGTGAAATGTAGTTGTTGGATGAACCAGTAGGTGTCAGTGATGTAAAGAACGTGAAGAAGTCACAAATATAAATGTTATTTTGCTAGAAAAGGCGTACAAATGTTGGCGCTGAAGATAAGACAGAAGCAAGTTTGATTGAAATGAAAGTTTGGTTTAAATTTGTTCATTTCATTTTTGGCTTTAAAGTCTGATAGAAGTTACTTGTAAAAAAAGACAAAGAAACATCAGAGAAGTGTGAATGGTGCAGCCTCTATCGAGGAACAATGTTTTTCTAGACTGGGGTAAATGAGGCGAGGCGGGCGAGGGAAGGAAGGAGTGAAAGAGAGAGAGAGAAAGTCCAGAAAGAGTGATGGAGGACTCCACAGAGTAAGTGATGAGAAGCGGGAGTGTAGGCAGGAGGAGGAACAAAGTGGCCGGAAGAGCCAGAGAAGAAGAATGGGAGGCAAAGAAAATAAACGACCGTGTGAACATAGAGATAAATTTAGCACCGGAATAATGAGAAAAATGGAGGGAAATGCAGAGGAGCTAATGATAGCACGGGCTGCAGAATACTAAACAATGTCCATCATGATATAAAATTCACATGGGCAGGAAAAAAAACTTTTTTTTTTTAATTCATGAACCCATGACTGGTGGCTTCACTGTAATGAAAACAAATTGAAATCTCCTGAGATGACGAATGGACTGGAAAAACATGGTTTCTTAGAGTCTAATGCAGATGAATGTCTTCTCTCACACTGTGTTCCTGAAGGGAGAAGTTGAGAACCCATCTTTATCACCCAGCGGCGTGTGTGTGTGTGTGTGTGTGTGTGTGTCTGTCTGTATCTGCGCTCATAAAATACTAAGATGAACAACTGCACGGATCACCTGAAGGGAGGTTGTTACCAAGAGAAATAACGGCATCAACGGCCCAAGTCACTTCCAAGTGACAACAACATCCAGAGGCTTTCGTATCTCTGTTCCGATCCCAGGCTTTTGTAGAAAAAATAAATATAAATACACACCGAGGTCAGACCGTTTGGGAATTTGTTGCTGAGCTGTGTAGTAACGGTCAAGGTTGCTTTATTTTAGCTGCCACTTTGACCGATTGTTAGCCTCCGCCAGCTAACACAGTCATTTTGCAGATGATGTTCTGCTCTATGTTAGAGTTTAAAAAAAAAAAAAAGTTTTTGTTTGTTTAGATAAAACATACTTGTCTTGTGTTTAAACTAACACGTCTTCTTTTGGACGACCTGCGGAGCATCAGAAATGTTGGAAGATGGAAAAAACTGACAAAACTGAATAGTAAATCAGGCTTGTGTATGTAAATCTGCAGCCAAATTAACTACTAAACCACCTGGTACTGCAGTATCTATATAAGGTTCTCCAGTGAAGATCAATAACGATGTAATAGACTCGTCGTTACGACCGCTAATTTATTGGAAAAATTAGAAAGACGGACGGAGACTTTAATGAGAGGTTTGGACGAAGCGTTGAGAAAAAAAAAGAAGAAGCTAATTTTACCGCAGTGTATTTTCTGTGCTCTCCCGTCTCCTTAGGTATCAACGCGTTAAGGAGTTTCTGATGTTGTTGCATTTCTCTTCTCTGACACTATCGTTCGAGGGCATTCAGCCCTGATTGCCTCCCGTCACCGCCCCCTACTGAGTGTCATATTAATCCCCCAGACCTGCTGTAATGAAATAATTGATTGATCGTTTCCCTGTATTATCTATCAACGCTGCCGCAGCGGCGTTAGCATACTGAGTGGGTGAAGCTCATGATTTATTAATGATTATTGAGGGCGATTGTCTGACCTGAGGATTTTTGTCTTTTCCCCGTCTTCCCGTGTCATTCCGCCCATCCATCCTGTGTCCCCGTCAAACTTGTGCCCGTCTCCAACCTCCCTGCCTCCCCTCCTCCCCCTGCCCTCACCCTCATTCCTCTCCTCCACTCTTCAGGGCGAGTGTTCCTCCAAGTGCTACAACATGTTCATCATTGAGACGGTGTGTGTGGCCTGGTTTTCCTTGGAGTTCGTCCTGCGCTTTATTCAGGCTCGCAGCAAGTTGGACTTCCTGCGAGGGCCTCTCAACATCATCGACGCCATGGCCATCCTCCCCTACTACGTCTCTCTAGTGGTGTCAGAGGAAGACCCGTCCCTGGACAACGAGAGACCGGGTGGCGGTAAGGGCTACTTGGACAAGCTGGGCCTGGTGTTGAGGATCCTGCGAGCGCTGAGGATTCTCTACGTCATGCGTTTAGCCCGCCACTCTCTCGGCCTGCAGACGCTCGGGCTGACTGTCCGACGCAGCACCCGGGAGTTTGGTCTTCTCCTCCTCTTCCTCTGCGTGGCCGTCACCCTCTTTTCCCCACTGGTCCACTTGGCCGAGAGCGAGCTCACCGGGACCCACGACTTCAGCAGCATCCCCGCCTCCTACTGGTGGGCCATTATCTCAATGACGACTGTAGGCTACGGCGACATGGTGCCGCGGTCCATTCCAGGACAGGTCGTAGCTCTGAGCAGCATCCTCAGTGGGATCCTCATCATGGCCTTCCCTGCTACCTCCATCTTCCACATGTTCTCTCGCTCCTACCAGGAGCTCAAGATGGAGCACGACCGTCAGCTGAAAGAGGAGTGCGCTGCTGCCGCGGCCGCTGCCGCAGCCTCCGGGGAGGCGCAGGAGGCAGGAGTCGAAGGAGGAGGAGGAGAAGCTGGGGACTTTGTGAAACCAGGACAGGGTTCACATTTAGACAAGGACACTGTGCACTCACTGGAGTGTGTGGGAAAAGGCGGCGACGCTGCAGGAAACAATAACCACGGCCTTCCAGCAGCTGCTTTCTGAACAACACACACATTTGTCAAAGTTTTGCCACGGACAGAATGTGTGTGTGTGTGTGTGTGTGTAGGTCTTTAGCCATCCCTGTTTAGGCTCCACCCACAAAAGGGTGAAAGGTTGCTTTGTATTAAAGCAGCCTTGTATTTAAGTGCAATACTATACTTTCAAATTCTTATTCTGGGTTGTTCTCACTCGACGCAGAGTGATGTTTTTCTAGACTGGACAGAGTGATTTTGTTGATTGATGATGGCTGGCTAAAACAGATTATCATCTGATTACCACAACATATTCAGACTTGTTTTTTTACCCATCGATAGTACGTGATTGTTTTGCCCCGTGTTTTTTCCTGGTACCTTTTTCTCTCCTCGTGCTCTGCTTCTGCTGCTGATAACTACCTCTTCTTTGGCCGGCTGCTTGGACTTCCATCCTCTTCTTGTTTCTTTTCTTCAAACATCTGTTTGTGAACAGCAGCGGGATGATTCAAATGCTAAGCTAGCAGCCCAAATATATAAATCTAACATGGATTAATATTTCTAATAGCTTATTTAGGGACGTTATATGAGCAGAAATAGTCTGACCATACTGTACATTTATTCATATTTAAATAGTTCAACTTAAGGTCTGTCCAGATATCCAGAATTCCAAAGCAAAGGTGAAGAGGGCAAAGGTGAAGAAGGCAGGGTTGGCCAGAGACCTACAGCATGGACCTCACTATGTTCCTGCGAAAGCCTCATTCCCTTCACGGCTTTGTAACATCTTTGTTTCATTGGATGAAAAAGGAAATGATCCACAGAAAAACTGGACTACTTAAAAAAAAATATATATATATATATATACCCTTTAGGAGATGCTGTACTGTTCGTCTGACCACAAAGCCTCCGCAGCAATATTACGAACTGGATGCTTCCATAAACATGCAATAGTCGGTCCAAAGTTGCTTTTTCCTTTCACTGTGAAAAACCTTACAAACCCCGAGTCCAACCTTTGAGTTTAATCCACATTTAATGTGTCGCCTACAGTCCTGACCTGGAAATGTTCTGCCATGAATCCAGAGACCTTTTTTTCCCTCTCCTGGGTTTATTTCTGAGAAGCTTAAAGCCATGTTTTGCAGAGGCAAACGTTAACAAACTGTTAGTTCCTGCTCCTGTAAGGGATGTTTATGAATCTGTATCTTGTATGTTATGAGTCTGGGAAAAGACGGTTTCTCCGTTTGTCTACTTTAAAGTCAAGTTAAATTGAAAGGGGAGTCAAAGCTGATGGAGAGAGGGAGAGAGAGAGCACATTTGAGAACCTGGGGGAGAGAGAGAGAGCATGAAATGTACTTTGCAGTGCTTCAAATAAAAGCGTTCCAGATCATTTAAGAGAAATGCATTTCCTCAGCTGTAATTTTTTGTATTGTTCCAGCTCAATCAGGTTCTATCGAGATGTAAGAAAGGTCACTTTTAGACACATTAATGTAAGGAAAATACTATATATATATATAATTCTGTGACAACCCCCTCTTTTCCTTGTGTCATTTATGCAGTTACAGTCCTCTGAAAGAACTGTCAACATGTCGCTACGAAACTCAGAATTTTTTACACCAACTTTGCCATTTCATATCATCGGCATAGAGGGAAATAATTTGTCAGTCAAATAAAAGGCATCGTTCTCTTTCCCCTGACAAAGATTCAGGGTCATGCCAGATGTGGATGTAATCTAGATTAAAGGTAGATTTAAAACATGCAGATGCGTCAGTGCCGAGAACTTTCAGATGAAGCTGGCGTTTATCCCGCTCGGCCTCCGTGATAATTCCACTCCCATCGCTTGTCTCATACTTTCTGATGCTTCGATTGGTTACTTGGATTCTCCATTCTGTTTATAGTTGCACGGGAGTTTCAAAATGAAGCTCCCGAGGATCATAATTCATCGTAAACGAGGCAAAGCAGCTTCACATAATGAGGAATGATGGATTCCACAATTACCCGCCTCTTGTCCGCGTTATAAGCGATCTCTAAACACAATATATTTCACAGGACTGGTCATAACTCATACCTTAACGAAATGATTAGTAACAAGTATAGTAATGGGGTTGCATGCTAATAGGAAAATCACGTCACAGAACGGCAGGCTAATCTCTCAGCTGAGTTAGAGGGTAAACACACAACTGCGCGTCAAAAGAATCAAGTATAAAAGTAAAAACTTATTTCTACATTATTTTACCTTTTACATCATCATTGCATTGATTGGTTACATTTGAATCTTAAGGAGAATTAAAACATTTTTAAATCTAATCTCTACACTGTGTATGTGCGCCGCTCTTCTTCCTCCCTCCCCTCACCCCCTCCTTCCTTATGTGCCCCCACCTCTGTCTGACTTTGGGCCCCTAACTTAATTCACATGACTGCTCATCTATAACAGCGCAACAACAACAAACGGCGAATGCTAACATGCAGCGGCGGCGGGCGTAATAAGTCATGTATAATTTGTTTCTAAAAAGTTCAGCGAATCAATCAAAAGTTTTTTTTTCAAGGCGGATTTGTTTCCTCTCCACACAACTCTTCTTCTTCTTCTCTTCTCCCACCTACTCACCCGGCGATAGTGGGAGTTTTTTTTCTTGCTCAATGAGATTCTAAAGGTTGAACAGGTCGCTCATTGTTCCACCAACATGGGGGCGTAAGAAAACCTCACCAGACTGAAGCTTCGATTAGAGAATCTGCACAAATATAGTCCACTTACAAACACACAAACGCAGCTGGTGAAGGCGAGGATTCTGGGTAAAAAAAAAAAATCTGAGATGTCTCTGTTGATTGTGGTCATAATGGAAACTGAGCCGACGCAGCAGATGGCTCCTCGCTCAGGTGTGACTTCTTCAAAGTGAGATGTTTTAGAACATCTTACTGTAGTAAAATGAGCAAAAAATGGAGTAACTCCCCACCTGCGTGTGACTGCAGAGTAAATGATCCAGCTCTTCAGCCAGCAGGTTCTCTGTAGTCACTTTTTGTTCCGAATCTTATCGTTAATGAACTGACACAGTGTTTCCAGGAACACGGAGGGAGAAGGAGGTGAAGGAGTGGGAGACATCAAGTCCAAGGTATTCATTAAAGTCTGTTCTGTTATTGTACAATAGAAGGTCACAATTTTTTTAATGTTCTGTAAAAGTTTCCCGGCAGAAAATGAATTGTGCTTTTTTTTTTTTTACAGACTGTGAGTGGAGACAGTTTCACATTAATTCACTAAGATAAAAACCAAGATCTGCATCAGCCTGAATCAGATGAGATTGAGTTCCAATTAGTTAAATGGTGACTTTTTTTAATTGTTGTTTTTGTCCAAAAATTGTTTTTTTCAGGATCTGGGTTAGTGTTGTTGGGTAGGTGACAAACTCTGAGACTTGAGTTTTCTTCAAGATATTTCACCTTCTTTTAACAGGTTTCTTAAATTCTACATCTGAGCTGAAGGATTGAAAACTTCTCTCAGATTAAACTTGAAGAATTTCCTCCAGAAATTGAACGGACTTCACCGACTAACTGGTGAGATTTCACAGATTGAACCACTCTGCGCTGTGTTGTGTTTATGTTTGTGCGAAACTCCATCTATAGATGGAGTTTACTTACAAATGATGCTAATTACCGGTTAGCATCAGAGCTATGTAGGAAATCTCATGGCACTGACTTTTTAATTAGCCCATAGTTTTACAGCGCCCTCTCTCTCTCTATAGATGAAATGACAAATTAGCTTCTTCATCCTGTTGTAGCCGCGGCACAAACGCAGCGCCGTCAAACTCATTGTTTTGTGAACACTGCGGAGACCCACCATGCAATTTTCAAGCGTCCAATTCCCCGAATGATACAAGAAGCAGCAGAAATGGAGAGAAAAGCTATTCAAAATTCATAGCCAGCTTTTCTTTTATCCTGCTCTCACGTAGCGATGACAGCTCAGCGGTGAAGTGGCTCTGGGTCATCTGGGCCGAGTGGTTCTTAAACCCAGTCATTTTAATAGTTAAACCCGTGCTTGACTTTCATTGTGTTTCACCTTCACAATACATTATGTTATGGGGGAATATATTTGTTTAATATATATTAATGTTAAACACAGTTATTGGTGTTTGTGCTGCCACTTACAGATCTTGTCTTTGTCTTTTTAGGCTTTCAATTCAAGAATTTTGATCAAATCTCATAATTGTTTCTTTCATTTGTTAGTGAAACAAATCAAAGTCATTTTTTTAGATTGATTTTTAACCTCAGATTTTTGACTATTAGTAAAACAGTCAACCTGTGATTAGACAACCTCACCTTGAAAGACAACCTCAGTGACCAGCTGAAATTTTTCTCGTTATTCCCAAGTTTTTTGAAACCTCTGCCTCATTCACATTCTTAAAAACCAAATTCCCTTCATTAAAGTTTTCTTTTATTTTATAATACTTGTGGTCAATTAGAAGGTATAAATAAAGGGAGGATAAAAACAATGATTAATACACAAATTCAGGCATGAAGTGCCTAAATCTGCCTAGTTTTTGCACCCGATTATGTTCCTGCACGGCAGGTAGGAATTGAGTAAAGTAGTACTTTACTGCAAACAGTATTAAAGTAATGAAACAGTATTACTAATGCAATTACTGGAACATTTCTATGCAGACGATTCACATCTGTTGTATCTGTATGTCAACAGTTTGGTCGGTCCGTTGCAGGAGATTATCATCAAACCTCAACCTGTCAAAGGAAAAGCTCGACGGTTCCAAACTGCTGTGGAACATCATCCAACGTCAACCTGTCAAAGGAAAAGCTCGACGGATGGATTCTGTTCAGCTGCGGTGAAAGTACAAAGTACTGTAACGGAGCTCCGCACTGGTCACCACACGATGATCAGACCGTATATGTTCCCCACTGTTTGCGCCTCGTTGGATACACACCACAAGACTTCTGATAAGATGAGAATCCAATTAAAATACCCTGACACGGAGCGGAGGGTGGATCCCCTATAGAGGCCGTATCCCAGCATCTGTGTGAGGAGCACGGGGCTCAGACTGTGAACGCGGAATTCTAATCAGCTCCGGTCGTCTTCAAAGAAATCCTGGAGGCTCTTCTGTAATCTAGAAGGAATGAAATAGGAAAATAGAAAAGGAATTTTCTACCGCGTGTCACGGCAGACGGATGCCAGAACCGATTTACTGAGGAACATGAAACACGGATGTCACTGAAAATGTTTTCTTTCTGATCTGAGTGATAGAAAATTTTGGTGAGTTTGAGCAGATTGCACCCTGGGAAATTAGAAGATTTGATATAAAAAAAAATAAAACCTGTGGAAAATGCGACAGACGCCCTTCCTGTTGGTGACAGGAAGTTGGAGAGATGGAAAAGCAGCAGGGGGCAGTGTATCATTTTTAATGCTGTTCTTATCTGGAACCAAGAATGTTATTCAGCCTCTTAATATGACAAACCATGAGCTCAGAGTGAGTTCTTTATGCGGCGTCGGTGACACACAGAGAACCTGAAGCTCAGCGGGTTTCCTGGGGACGCAGATATGAAAGACTTCAATGAAGCGTTTTAACTCCAACTCACGAGGTGAGGTGTCCTTGAAGAAGGATTCCAAAATATATATATATATATTCAAATTTCCAACACAGTGGTTTGAAAGTGCATTAAATAACCTGATGAAATTTGCTGAAATAGAAAGAAATCCCACATTTATTTTAACTTAATAATCTATAAAACATTATTGACCAATCACGATGTGACACCTCACATTGGTTTTTTTTGTCAACTCTTACCTGTTACAAGGCTGAGCTGGAGTCAATCCCAGTGGTCGTCGAGCCAGGATGGGCCAGGAGTGTGGACAGGTCAGCAGGTCACGGGTCAAATGACCATTCACACTAACATTCACGGCCGTGGTCGACTGTTGACCCAGTCCTGCGGGGGTTTTGGACCAGGGGCAGAAGATGGAAATACCAGGAGGACGACGGAGATCGAGGCAGTGACGCAGAACATGTTCCTGTTGAAAGGTGAGTTCAAATGTTTCTGTGTGAGGTTTTATCAGATTATGTTCTCTGACCCCTGCCTTCCCTGCTACTTACCCCCTTCTCCCCCCGCCTTCTAACTGTTTCTAAATGTAACATTCCACATTTATTGTCACTGGTGGATGGATGGATGGATGGATGGATGGATGGATGGAGTCAGTTAAGAACAGCAGGTTCACTCTTCTGTTCTAAAGTTTTGAGTTCAGCCCAAAACATTAAAGTGTTCTTAATGTGGTTCCAGATATTATTTGCATCAGGGACAATGACTGTGACTGTAGGTCACATGATCCACACAATTTTTTTAAATAACAATTTTTTTATTATTTTTTTTTTTAATTCCCCAAAAAAAGTTTTAACATCCACCTCCAGACAAAGTGCTGTTTCTGCACCAGTTGTTTTTCCTGGTTGCTGATCAAAACAGACATTTCAACTAATGAGACGTAGTTTTATTTTTGGTTTAAAAAAAAAAGTCCTGAAAGCTCCTACCTAGTGATTAAAAAGTTCCTTGTATCTCACTCATTATTGAAATACCTTAGTCACCAGGGAGAAGTTGGAACTATAATTTCCCAGGAGATTAATTTCACATTTTCAAAAAGTGTTTTTCATGTTTCATTCTCACCATCAGAGACTTTTTTTTTTTTAACATCCTACGCGTTAGCAGTTGAAGCACTGATGAAGGCTTTCATTTTCAGACGGTGTTAAAAAAGGATCGGCGGGGCCAGTGGATGACCTGCTGTGTATTCAGACTGCAGTTGGCCGCTTCAGTAACAGCGCCATCTGGGTAAGCCCACTCACACCTGGGGTATCTGGGAGTGTGCCACAGAGAGGGGAGTGGAGGGGAGGGGAGGGGAGGGCTGGTGCAGTGCAGCAGACATGGAGGGCAGAAAGGAGTCACAGATATGTAGTCAAAACATGTGAATAAAATTAGGGGAAAAAATCTGACGAAGATCTCCCTGAAAACCCTAGAAAATTAGGAAAATAAAATAAAATGAAATGAGCAAGAATGGCACATAGGCTAAACACCAAAATGTCTAAAAAATGTATTTAAAAAACAAGGTTTTTGGACAATAACATATATTATAAAAATTGCTAGAACGAAAAATAATTAAAAATAATGAAAGTGAATTAAATTAATTAAAAAAACAGGTTTTTGGACAATAACATATATTATAAAAATTGCTAGAACGAAAAATAATTAAAAATAATGAAAGTGAAGCCATAAAAAAAGTTAGCTCCAGGTTAAGCTACATAAGCTAAAGGTTAGATCAGGAAGTAATGATAAAGTTTATAAAACCCTAATTTTCAGTCAATGATGAGCCAGGTATAAAATAAAGTCTGGTATTTTCTTTTACCAGAAAATGATTGGGCCATAAAAAACGTTTTCAGTCGATGAGCCAGGTATAAAATAGTCCGGTATTTTCTTTTACCAAAAAATTATTGGCTCCTGGAACTGGACCATATAAAATCTGTCCATGTGCCAGAGATGACCCCTGAGCCTGAGTTTGGACATGCCTGATCTCATCTCACAACACTGAGCTTAGGCACAGACATGTCTCAGGTGTCAGTTGTCCTCAGTAGATTTGTGGCCTGATCATCATCACAAAGTTGACCTCCGACCTCCCCGGGGTTTGCACCAAGTGTCGTGTTCAACTTCACATGTGTCTGCAGAACTCCTGCGGAGGCCGTCGGCC